AAAAGAAAACCTTCCTTGAAAACAAACTGCCTTCTCTTAGACTAGATGCATTTCCAGATCATTTCCATAACACAGAAAACCTTAGTTACAGACTCAATTAAAAGAGAAACTGAAGAGCCAAAAGACAATGAAACGTTTTCAATTTGTAACCTCCCAGAATCAAAACTAAGTGTGGAAAATCCAAGACTCTTGTGGACAAGAGAAATCAGAAAGAAAGAGAATGGCGTTTTCTCTATTTCCACAAGTTTTTGCTGTAAAATGATTCAATCAAAATTGGACAGGCAACCTGGTGTAGAAGACAGTGTCTTCCCAGAACCAGTTTCTGAAAGTAGGGGAGAGGGCCAAAGACACTCATACTTTCCACTCAACATTTACTGAATTATTTCCTCCAGCAATGTAACTGGCCCCAGGCCTCAGTTTTGTCTCCTGTAAAATGTCTACTTCCCAAATATGTGAGAACAGCCAGTATTTACCAAGCATATCACTTGCTTAATTATTTACAGCCTTGTGAAGTAGTAGGTATTATTATTACTGTTTTGCAGAGGAGAAAATTGGACAACGAAGTGACTTATTTAACACGATCACAGCTTTGAAACCTAGGCATTTTAACCTGAGACTTCCAAACAACAAACCTAATGCCTCAACAAATGGGTTCTCTTCTTTCTCAGCCAATTACATTCCCTTTAAGTGGAGAAAAAAAAAAATGTTGCATTTTTAAAGCAACCTACTATGTGTTAGCATGTTAAATTAATTTGTCCTCATCACAGCATATAAAGTTGGCTTATATTTCAAATAAGCTTAAGCTTTCCCCAGTGAAAAACTGATTTTACATAGAAAATCATTCTCAAATTGCTTTTCTGACATAAATCTACAGGAGTCTAAGCCCCAAGAGCCAGGTTTTTCCAGGCCCTGATTACAAGTGGGAAAATAAACTGACCATCCAGTTAATAATACTGTGGGACAGCAGCTTTGAGGCCTGCTGCCCACCAAAGTTCCAGAATACACAACCTATTGAACTTTTCATTTCCAAACTCCTGAAAAAAGTTATGCAAAAAGGAAGGAGGTCTTTCCCACTCTCCATTCATTCACCTTGATAAATCAAATCTCCTCTGCACATATGATGTGATACTTAAAACAGAAACTATTAAGCTCTATTGTACTTGAAATCTCCAAGAACACTGAAATTCTAGCTGTATCTCAGGTATAAAATACTAATCAAGATAAACAAATCAAAGAATCTTAGTGTACTTAAAAAACATCTCTTAACACATTTTAATAATAGCCCAAAGAAATAACTGCACAAAAGAAACTCATAGTTATTTTACAAAGTTTTTCATATTCTTGATATGTTCCTTCTAGCCACTTCAGAAATGTATTGTTACTTAATTGGCTGCCCTTAAGTATTTGTACTTTGGTCAACCAAAACCTGGGAGAAACAGGTCTATTTAATATCAGAACAATGAAAAGAGCAATTTGTAGTTTTTTGTTTGGGCGTGGCATCTAAGGATATTATTTTTTGGTAACAATCACTTTTAGATCCTAACCCTTAAACATTATCCAAATGTGGGAGAAATCAGGAAAGAAGCTGCAGATCCGGTGCTGCTTATCGGTTGTCTAGACTGCAGGCAAACCCCAAATACCAAAGAAGCATCCATGTGTCTAACCAGCATAATTTCTGAGCTATGCCTGGGGCCACATAACAAAAAAAAAAAAAAAAAAAAAAAAAAAA